TAAATAAGAAATTATTAATCTTCTTTTCTTTGATGTGCAATGTTGCACGTGATAATTATAAAGATTAACGATGAAATATATAGACACGAGGGCGGATTTTAAGTACGTGGAGTTCCTAATTTGTACAAATGATCGTTTGAATGTTCGCCCCAAAATAGCATGGCTAGTGGTGTGAAATGGATGAATTGGTTTAATTCCAAACTAAGAAATAGTGCACATTTTCCTCATTCCCATTTGTATCTTCGAGTTGTCATTAGTCTTTCACCAAATCCTATAACCATTTTTTAAAGCATGCCCATGTCAATGTCTAGAATTTATGAGGTATGTCACATGTGCTCAGTTATGTCGTGCAACTATATATATATCATGATATTTGTTTAGTTGAACATGTGGATATGTTATAAATCAATAATGGATAACAATTGATATATCTTTTGTTTTAATTTATTTTATAATATATTTATTATTAAATTATTATTTCTAAATTTAAATTTAAAGGAGAAACTTTTAACTACAAAATTTACTAATTAAATTGGTAAATGTTAGCAAATATATTGAATTATGTAGGTGAATCTTTATCCTCAATTGAAATCAAATTAATTACCTGACAGAGAATTGTCCTGGCCATGTGCCAACTCGTCTGAAATGTGCACTGTATAAATGGATCATTACTGGCCTCGAAAAGAAAACGTGGAGGGTACAGTGCCCTTCCCCATCATGTCCATGCCCTCAAGAAGCCCTAACATCAGCCATATTAATTTCTTCCATCATAGAGTGGAGACCTTTAGTTTTAGGTGACGAGGGACACCTTGTCCGGTTCTTTGCTTGCGTTGTGTGTACTAACCAAAAAAACAATATTCCTTTTTTCCAAATTAAACAATAACACAATATTATGAATATAAATTTACATATATGAGCAGATTAGGTTCAAGTTTCAGATTATGGTAGCGATGGGGTTAACTTTTTTTTAGAGCATTTTTTAATATTACTTTATAAAATATTAATTTATAATAATTAAATTAATTTTAATTAATATTTTATATAATTTTATAATTATATATTAATATATACATTTTTTTCAATAATTATCAAATAATAACCTAATTTTTTACGATGAAATATTAAAAAAATTCATAATCACAATATTTTATAACAATTCTAAACATACCTTATGTATATAAAGATGTTATTTATGAAATTGAGACTAAAATATTATAACTTTTTAAATATTAATTTAAAGAATAAAAGATGGGGCTGTGGCACCATCACGGATTTGCGATTGTTGATTAGTCAATTTATGAAATAAATACTATGATTAATTACGATTAATTGCTTAAAACACTAAACCATTTTGATTTTGTAATATCAAGCAAACAATTACAAAACACAAAAAGATGCCCACAAAAATGGGCATTCCTCGCGTGTTCTAGTGGAAGGGGCAATTTAAAGATGGAGAAGTGTCGTATCCAAAATCATAAACACTTTTTTTTTAGTATTTTTGCTGCATAACATATTAGTTAAAATTTTAAATTTTAAAAATATTAACTTTAATATCAAATGTCATTAATAAATTACATTTAATCTTTGTATCACGTGACTTAATTACTACAAAAAAATTTAAGAATGAGTGTTAAATGAAAGTATTTCTAACAATATATTAAAATTAATTTATAAATTAATATTTTTAAATTTCATAATTAATTATATAAAAAAATTTAAAAAAAAATGGATGAAAGAAATTATATCCATTCA